TATTGCCGCAGAACGATTGAGTAAGAGTATTACAACAATATCGTTATTATATGTATCCAGAATAGGAAAATAATAAACCCTATTGCCGCAGAGCGATTGAGTAACGAGCATTACAAAAGTATCGCTATAGTACAAGATGATGCACACATAGATATTTGATCAGTTGTAGGCTTTACTTCCATGATAGATTACCCGTGAGTAGGGTATTTCCTTTGAGATTTTGATGCACCCATTATGAACGACAGATATTTTTGTTTTAGCTATTGTCGATATCCTCTTATTATAGAGCAGGTCACTCGGACGTAGTTCGAGATGAGATGGTTTTTCTTTGTGTGGGAGATTGGGGTATTTATAATTGATTAATTGCTTTTCATTCATAGAGAGTAATATGAATGATTTGATATATGTATGTACTGACTTTATTTTCTTATATACTCCTACCCCTTCCCCTGGGGAGAGGTAGTGATGATCTCGCTAGCGCTTTGACGCTCGTTGTTTTTCCCCCCTTTTCAGGCAGCGAGTCAGGTGCACGGAGAGTCGCAGGTTGATGGGATATTTTAGTTGTCCGTTTAGCTATTTATTATATTTTATAGTTATCGCAGAACTCCACATGTAGTTGATTATTTTCAGACTCCAGATTAGTATTTTATTTCATAGAGTTGAGAGCTATTGTAAGACTTTGTTTTTTTGACTCATTGTATTTGATATTTAGTTCAGACTCAGAGATATGTCTATTTTATTCTAGTTGGGCTTATTATTGATATTCTTATGCTTCTTCTGTGTTTATCCAGTGTTGTTCTATTTCTATTTTTGCCTGTCTGTACCTTCACCTATTTTTATTATTTCCACTAGAGAGATAGTGATTGTGATGGTGAAACTTATCATAGCATGATGGTTGGTGCTTGGCAGGTTTGACAATCCATGTTTTACCTGGGACTGCAGCCTTGTGTGAACCCTGGGGCGTCACACTTCGGATGCTTGACCGCCTTTAGACCCAGCTTTTGAACCAATGCCTCGGATATTAAATTCATCTTGTTGGCCGGATCAACTATGACATTAATCAAACTGGTCTTCACTTGCAACTTAAGCATAAAGAGTTGCTCTCTCGGGTCGTCATCTCCTTCGTGGCCTGTCTCCCCGCCATAAGGTTGAGACTGCTGTTGGGCTCTGTCATCCTCGGGACTTCTTTCGGACCTTGAGCTATCACATATGCCTTTTTCTCCTCCTTCTTCTTCAATCCTCTTAGCTTGAGATGAGGATATTTCTCCCAGCACCGATCAGCAACTTGCCCTGCCTTCTCGTAGTGACTACAAATCAGTTCTGCTTTTCCTGGATCACTCTTCTTCTCCTCCTTAAGTTTGGAACCACTAGACTTGTCTCCCGTCTGTTTGGAGTCTCCCTTAGTCTCGTTGCCCTTCTTCTGCTTCCTTAATGGCAATAGCCTTCACGCTCGCCTCTGCAATAGTCTCGACCGTGAATAACTTCATCTCCTTCCGGATGTAATTACTCAAACCCATCATATAATTCATAAACATAGAATATTCCACCGTCGTAATGTTAAGAACCATCTCCTGCTGCTGGAACTCCGTGGTGTATTCTTGAACGGTTTGATTGGCCCTTTGGCGTAAACCGTACCACTTGTACCAATGCTCCTCAAGGAATCCCACCGGATAAAACTGTTTCCTCAGTAACTCCTTGAACTTGTTCCACGACACCGCCTTCTTCTCCTGCTTGCAGTAGGATTTTCACCACATCAACGCGTGCCCTGAAAGCTTCAAAGTCGTGAACACAATCTTCTCCTTGGACGAATATCCGTAGAGAGTGAAACACATCTCCATACGTTCGATCCAATCATCGAGTTTCTCCACATTGATACTCCCATCATAAACAATAATCTCCATCTTAAGTCAATCTTTAGGTTCTGGTAAGAATTCTTACCCCCTTGATGCAACGCAGCCTTAACAGTCTCCTCCTCCTCGTCGGGATCTGAATCCACTCTCTCCACATTAGACTCTACAATTTTTTTTCTTGGACTTTGAAGAAGATTCACCTTGTTTATCACCTCCATGGATAAGACTGACGAGTTGTGTGAGAGTAGACCCTATCGTCTTGATCTGCTTCTCCAACGCATCAATCCTCGCTGAATTGTCTCCTTCAGCCATCTTCTTCTTCCTTAAAACCTGGACTCCTTCCAATAAAATAAGGATCTCGCCTAGCTTCTTGTATTACGATCGAGTCAGGACCATACACAGGAAGCCCCCTCTATCGGATTTGATCGCTCTGATACCAACTTGATGTGAGTCGCCGTGCGAGCACCTTTGATCGTGGAATTAACAAAGGTGGGTTGAGAAGAGGATGACAGAAACACAAGAACAATTCAGTATGTGGCGAAGGAAAATACCCTCTTTAGATTATGAATATGAAAACATTACAATCCCTCTCTCACAATCTCACTAGAATCGAGAACAAGCTCTCAATTCTCTCTAAACCCTATTCTCTCTTGATTAGAATCTCACTTTGATTACCTCTGATTGATTAGAAACCCTAAACAATCCCTTATATAGGTGTAACAACGTGGATGACAAAGTGGTAAATAACCAAGGCTAAACCCAACAGGAATTCGTGCAAACAGAAACCCAAACGAATCAGGAAACCTTCGATGAGTTGACTCACGACTGAGATGAGTCAACTCATACGAAACTGGACAAAACACAAAGCCAGCAATGAGTCGACTCGTCAGAGACTGGTGACAAACGGCTGAGTTTCATGAGTCGACTTATGATAGGCATAAGTCGACTCAACCTGATGAGTCGACTCATGACTGTTATGAGTCGACTCACAGGCTAAAAACTGGATGCTTCGATTCTTCAATTCGCCGTCTCGTTCCACGATTCAATCTGCGTTCCACTGTGCTGTTTTACCCCTTTATTCTCAAGCTACCATAAGAATCATCTATCCTCAAGCTCCCATGAGGATCATTAAGTTCCGAAGAGAAAGATACACCCGTATCACAACATGATTTTTTTTAATGAATACAACATTTTGCACGTTACAAGCCCGGCCAAAATAACCGGAGAAGCTTATAACGTCTCATGAGTTATGATCATTGGGGCGCTTACAACCTATTACTAGCTAGCGCACTATCAATGAAGCAAGAATTCTTTCGTTGAAATATGCCCAATAAAGTGGATACATATTGACCAATGCAACAAAAATGATTGGTCTAGATTAGTATTTCAAACTTTTACAAAGATAAAAGGAGTTATCATTGAAATTGTTTTTGTTCAACAAAGAATGTCTGAGCTGAGCTGGGCCTACAGCAACTCTAACGGAGTCGAAATGCCATGATAGTCGGATAACTGGTTGTGAGCCCACCTTGGCCTTTTATAATTTTTCTATTTACTTTAGTGCTATTTAACAGTGTTTTGTAAGAGACAGGGTCATCAACCGGATTAATGGGGCACCATCTCCAAGCGTATGGCTGACGTATTACTTGAGTTTTACCCATTTTATTCAGCCAGTCAATCAGTCGCTTGTGTATTCACTAGTTACCATGTCATTTGCCTTTTGCCCATTTTTTACGGTATACAAAATTTTATAACGTTGCAAAAGCTATGAGAGACGTATAGTTTATGTATCCGAAGTTTAAAATGTAGCTCAGTCACAGATGAGATGTGAAATTTCAAGCAATAATGATGAGTTCTGATTCTATAAATCACAACATTTGCCGCATAAGAGAAATTGGTGAGGGCCTTTCATGAGTGGTCGTCAAAACTCGCCGCTCACATACAATAAGTTGCCGTAGGACAAGTATCCAATAATGATCAAGAGGACCTCTAGCTTGCCACTGGTACAAATTATTGAGACGTGACCATTAGATTGGATATGCGTGGTGGCCAATGACCACCACAATGAGTGCATCGATACAAAGAATCTAACGTGATTGCAACCTTTTGCAATGCTAAGAAAGAGATATCAGAGAAGAAATTTTGAAGCCTGGAAATGAATTTCAAACACTGATCACTGCAGTCGCCTTGAAAGCAGCTGGAGTCAAAATGCCACATCATTCTCGCTCTTTTGGAGGGACATGTATCTTGAGGAGTTGTGTGCCAAGATGTGTGGTGTGATCTTCTTAAACTGTTGGCCCATCAAACTTGAGCCCAATTAACCTCTCGTCCACTTGGTTACCACAAAGCACAAAAATAGTTATTTAAATAATAATAATAAACAAACACTCTTTCTCCCCCCCCCTCTAAATATAATGGAAAACTCTCAGACCCCAAAATAGGGGACCCCTGAGGGACAGGTGAGGTGTCAGCCCCTGGGGGGATGATTTACTGTTCTGAATAGTAATCAGCCCCCAGGAGCTGACACCTCACGTGCTCCCCTCAGGTCCGGTCCCCTATTTGGGGTCCCTATAACACTACTCTAAATATAAATCGAGCTTTGAACGTGTCCTTCCACTATATTGAGCATGTTGGGTTTCACAAGTAACAGATGGCATTAATGCCCGAGTTCCAGGTACTCCCTTTTCGGTACTACACAGGAATTATACATTTCATGTGTAAAACATACGATTCCTCTTTATTGGAGATATGAGCCTATAACACTTGAGGGAGTAATTATTCCACTAA